AACGAGCCCGTGCAACCACCCCTGGCGGCTCCCCTTAGGGGTGCTGAAATGAGCGCCTCGCTCGAGACATCCTCCAAATCTGCTCCGAAAGCGAAGGATGTTGGGCACAGAAACAGGCAAACCGCCTGAGACATCCCCACAAAATGGCCGCGAACGAGCCCGTGCAACCACCCCTGGCGGCTCCCCTTAGGGGTGCTGAAATGAGCGCCTCGCTCGAGACATCCTCCAAATCTGCTCCGAAAGCGAAGGATGTTGGGCACAGAAACAGGCAAACCGCCTGAGACATCCCCACAAAATGGCCGCGAACGAGCCCGTGCAACCACCCCTGGCGGCTCCCCTTAGGGGTGCTGAGTGTGAGTAAGTCTGTGTATGAGTAAGTCTGCGTATGTGTACGTATGGGTATGACTAATACTGTGTATGAGTAAGTCTGTGTCTGAGTAAGTCTGTATATGAGTATGTCTGAGTGTGAGTAAGTCTGAGTATGAGTAGGTCTGAGTATGAGTAAGTCTGAATATGAGTAAGTATGTGTATGAGCAAGTCTGAGTATGTCCGACTGGAGGGGGCGAGAAAAGAGGAGGAGGAAGAAGGAGGAGGAGTAGGAGGCGTCCAAGTAATAACAATAACCCCATCTTAGGATATGGGGAAAAAGAGAGAGCGAGAAAGAGAGAGAGAGAGAGAGAGAGAGAGACTACTCGATTGTGGAACGCGTATATGCTCGCCAGCAGCATGGGCCCGCGCTAGTCGCAGGAGAGGGAGAGGGGGCAGCGCCCACGCCTCCGCCTCGCTCTGGGACTCCGCTGCCGCCTGTCGGGCTCGTGGTACTGCGCATGCGTGGGCCGCGCGCGCGCGCCCGCCGATGGGCGGGGCGCGCGCGCGCGGCCGCAAAAAAAAAAAAAAGCAAGGGCAGCCCTAGGACAGAGGCACACGCGCACTCAAACGCACACGCACACACATGCACACACGCGCACACGCACACGAACGCACGCACACACAAACACACACACGCGCACACACACACGCACACACACACACGCACAACCTAAGCGCCCGAACCTAAACGCCCGACCTACGCCTACGCGCCCGAGCCTACAACCTAAGTTTGCCGACCTAAACGCCCGACCTACGCCCCCCCGCGCTCCGCTACCAGGCACGCGGCCCACTTGCGACCGAAGGGCCCGCGACCCGCCTCGGACAGAGAGAGAGAGAGAGAAAGAGACAGAGAGAGAGAGAGAGAGAAAAAATATAAAAGGAGGGAGACGGACATACATACACATAGACAGACAGACAGACAGAGAACGCACCAACACAGAGAGTGCGTTACACGTAATACTAAAATACTATATGATTCGATGGTTACTACCAGTGCGTTACTATAAGAGTAGCAGCAATAAGTAATAGCACTATCGTGCGTTACTCTGGCTTTCATTAGTAATGATATATTTGCATGTGTATGTATAAATGCATTTTATGTATGTGTGGCACGCATGTGTTATATGTATGTATCGAATGTACTATATGTGGATCCATATATGCACGCATTATATGTATATGTGTGTGTATGTGTATGGCATGGCTTTACGTGTCCAAATGTATGTATTGGATGTATTGTACGTACTGTATATATGTGTGTCCATAAGAATGCTTTGTGCGCGTTGTATGTGTCGTATATGTATACGTGTGTTGTGCGTGTGTATGTGTTGCGCGTGTTGTATGTGTGCATGTGTAGTATGTGTTGTACGCGGGAGGATGTCCGAAAGTAAACTGCATCTTGCAAAAGCGCGCTGCGATTTTCGGCCTGGGTCGCAACGTGATTACGCATCTTACGATAACGCCGCGCGCCGCGAATCCTTCGGGCTCGAAATTGCAGTCGCGCCGCGTTCGCGATTGCAGCCTTCCGAAATTCGAGCGGGAGGCTGCAATTTCGAGCGCGGCGCGACTGCAATTTCGAGCCCGAAATATGAAGGATTCGCGGCGGGCGGCGCTACCGCAAGATGCATTTTCACGTTGCGACCCAGGCCGGAAATCGCAGCACACTTTTGCAAGATGCAGCTTACTTTCCGACACCCTCTCACGATGCAAATTTTTCGAGAACGGAGGATCAGGGTTTGACCATTTTGGAGTCTTTTTTTAGCATGCCTGGTTTTTCGGCGAAAATCCCCCTGTAGGGGGGCAGGCCCGATTGAAAGTTGCCTCGATGGACGAGTGCGCGTGGGCTCAAACACACACGTCCTCAGGATCATCCGCCCTGCGGCGGCGCGCCAACGGCCACTCCCGCCTGGGGCCTCCGCACGCGTGCGTAGCCGAGGACGAGAGGGGATGGCCTCCGGGCGGCGCGCCCGGGGCGCGCGCCGATGGGCGCATGCGGCGGGGCCTCCGCGGCGATCCCCGCCGCCGACCGGGCCCCCCCCACACACCAAAGAGCGCCGGCGACGCGGGATCCGAACTTATAGTGGGCCCTGGAAGCGACAGGGCCGTTTCTGTCACCGGTTCCGTGCTTTGCCGCTTTTGTTTGCCGGTTCCGACGCCGCTTTTTTGCCGGTTCCGCCGCCGTGCTTTTACCGGCTCCTGCTCCGAATCCATCCTGGAGCCGTCTTCGTTGCTGCTGTTTCCGGTCGCCGTTTTTTGCCGTTTCCATTTTCAAGGGGCACTTTTTCGGAAACGGTGAAAAACGGCCCTGCCGTTTCCGGGGCACACTAAGGATCCGAAGGGCAGGGACTGGCAGTCGGGGGCGTTCAAGAGGAGGCTCAAAGGCAAGGGCGCCCTCGAGGGCGCGAAGTTATTCGCGCTTCGCGCTTCGCGGTCCTCGTTCCTTCTCCCCCCTCCTCCTCGTCTTCCTTTTCTCCCTTTGGGGGGGCGGCGCGAGGGCGCGAAGTTATTCGCGCTTCGCGCTTCGCGGAGCGCGAAGCGCGAAGTTGGGAGCCCTTGCTCAAAGGATTTGGGGGGTGGTACAGTTGCTGGGGACACGACGTGCCCCAGGTGTTCGTTGCGCGTTCCTGTCTGTTGTTCTTCTTTGTTTGTTCCTTCTTTCGACGCTTCCCCAGGGTCCCGCTCGTCCACGCACGTGCCTCGGGCCACGATTCGCACAATGTTTCTTCCACCGCCCGGTGACGTCACCACAGTGAGAGCCAGAGTGGGCAGCAGCTTAGTGCTAAAATGATCCGCACCAGCACAGATGTCCCTTGCCCCCTTCCTCGGCGCATCTGAGGCATGCACGATGTTGGAGGCCTTCCAATACAAGCGCAGGGGAGCTGCATGGCAAGCAGAGGGGGAGATGTGGAGAGGGAAGCGATGATGGCGGGAGGGGTGCAACAACGAGATCGCGCGACCCCCCAGGAGCAATTAGCAAGCCAACCTGCGCGAGACCTGAGTTGGATTCGCGGGAGCGGCCACCCCTCCCTGCGAGATGTTGCCTCTGGCGCCCAGCGATGCACGCATGGCCCCCGTTGCCCCCCATCGTTGCCCCTCGTTGCCCCCCCCCCTCCCCCCCTCCTGTTGCCGCACCGTTGGCCCCCGGCGTTGCCCCACACCGTTGCCCCCCCAGCGCTGGCCGCGTCGATCTGTTCGGGGCCTTCCGCCGCAGGGGCGTCCTCTTGTCGGAGCGCGGGCCCCCCACAGGTCTGGACACCCCCCCCTGGATCGGCCTGTCTGCCCGGGTCCCTCCGTCGACGGCCCGACGGGTGTGGCACAGCCAAGTTCAGGAGGGGAAATATCACACAGACGCAATGAATCGTCGATTCCCCAGAGAATCTGGGAAAACATGGGAAGTGGGGGGGAAGACAAACACCTAGAACATATAGGGAAACATGGGGAATCCTGTTATTTGTGTCTATTCACTTGTGCGTCCCGGGGCCCCTTCACAAGGCGGTGGCGCGAGGACCACCGTGGGCTCAGCAGGGGCGCTGCCCAGCGGGCCGCTGCTCGAGGCCCGGCTGGGGGATCCCGCCCGTGGCCGAGGCGCACTATGACCAGGGAAGCTCTTGTCGCCCGCCCCTTCGTTCCCAACCTCCGCCAATTCGTTCTGTGTTCTTCGTTTACATGCGTGTATGTACATAACTACCTCTGTGTGCGTTTATACACATCTACACCGACGTGTACACAAGTCAGAGTGAGGGGGGCGAACGGCCATTCGATGTCCCTGGGTAAGCGGCTGAACAAGGAACTCGTGGCGGGAATTCTGCGTGTTTCGTTGTTGTTGTCGTTGATGTTGCTGTTGTTGTTGTTGTTGTTGTCGTTGTTGTTGTTGCTGTTGTTGTTGTTGTTACTGTTGTTGTTGTCGTCGTCGTCGTCGTTGTTGTTGTTGTTGTTGCTGTTGTTGTTGTTGTTGTTATTGTTGTTATTGTTGTTGTTGCTGTTGCTGTTGCTGTTGTTGTTGTTGTTGTTGGTTGTTGTTGTTGTTGTTTGTTGTTTGCTGTTTGTTGTTTGTTGTTTGTTGTTTGTTGTTTGTTGTTTGTTGGTTGTTGGTTGTTGGTTGTTGTTTGTTGTTTGTTGTTTCTTGTTGTTTGTTGTCGTCGTCGTCGTCCCACCCGCGACCCTTTCGCGACCCACCCCGCGACCCACCCGGCGACCCACCTCGCGAACCACCCGCGACCAACCTGCGACCTACCAACATTGGTTTAACGAACAAATCGGCGCCTGCGGCGGGCTCGCTGTATAATTTGTGGAACTTTGGCGCCTGCGGCGGGGTTCTCCAGAGTCTTACAACGGCCGACGTCCCCACCGCCCCCTCACTCAAATCCGCATCTGCGGGGTGATGGGTAAAAATAAAACCGCAGCCCCAGAGGTCTCGACCGCTTCTCTGGGGGTAGAATGTCACCCGGATCCGTTTTTGATGGCCTCGGGACCCGACAAGTGGCCCCAGGGGCCAAAGACGAGGAAGAACCGTCGGTTAGCTTGTTTGAGCGTATCGTCGGGGACCTGTGTTCAGCTTGAGCTCGATGACAGTATGGGCCCCCCTTCCGGAGACCCACCTGCCGGTCACCCCGCGCCGTGGGGGGTCGGAGTCTCCGCGGCCTGCGGCGGCGCCTGCGTCGCCGCCGTGCAGCCACGGCCCGGGGGGCTGCTGCGGGGGTGCCCAGCACCATGCCAGGATCGGCCCGTGGGGCCACCGCCACAGCATTCGATGTTGGATGTTCGTGGTTTTTGGAAAACTTTCCAGCCTGGGGGTGCGTTCCAGCAGCTGCGCCTCGCCGAAAGCATACCAGGGGGTGCCTGGATCGTCCCGAACGGCTGCCGGAGAGCCGAGTGATGACCCAAAGCCCGAGGGGCCACGTCAGGGGAGGACACCAGCTCTGGGCGGACGCACGGACCTGCAAGCGCCCGTTCATCGCAAATGGGAGCCCGATAGCCCACCCCATCCAGGAGCGTGCGGTTTCACGATCAGAGGCCTATTGCCGATCCGTCGGCGACTTCTGGTCGGGGGTTTGGGCCCCCCCCCACCCCCCCCAATGCTAATGCCATCGGGCCCCCCACCCCCCGCGCGATGGCCCCCCCCCATGTGGGCGTGGGCGTGGCGTGGTGGCGCCCCCCCCCCTATGGATGTGGTGTGGGTGTGGTGGGTTGCTGTGGATGTGTGCGGGGTGACGCCATGGTCCTCCTCCCCCCCTCCCCCCCCTGTTGACGTGTGGCTGCGGCGTGTGGCTGGGATTGGCGTCATGTTGACAGCTCCAGTGCTCGACGTCGTCGCCGCCGCCGCTGGTGTGCCGTCGACGTTGTCGTCGTTGTCGCCGTCGTCGTCGTCGTCGTCGTTGTCGTCGTCGTCGTCGTCGTCGTCGTCGTCGTCGTCGTCGTCGTCGTCTCGTCGTCGTCCTCCTCTTCCTCGTCCACTTCCTCCCCCTCCTCCTCCTTCTCCTCCCCCTCCTCCTCCTCCTCCTCCTCCCTCTCCTCCTCCCTCTCCTCCTCCTCCTCCTCCTCCTCCTCCTCCTCCTCCTCCTCCTCCTCCTCCTCCTCCTCCTCCTCCTCCTCCTCCTCCTCCTCCTCCCCCCCCATCCCATCTTGGGGGGGGGGAGGCCCGAGGACCCTGGGACCCATCCCATCTGGGGGGGGGGGCCCGTGGGCCCGGAGCCCGCGGTCATATATCGCCGATTACAGGTCGATGTCTCCTGCCCTGAGCTGATCCCCGCTATCGCCCTGAGCTGAAACATGTCAAGACTCTGGGCTGATTGATCTGTTTAGTATTTCAATTTTCCCTCCACTTCGGTCTCTCTTTTCGGGCCATGCGGCCCGATTCTTGTTGAATGGCCTGAATCCAGAATCGTTGTTTGATGACCCCGAGGCCATCAAACAACGATTCAGGAGGGGGAGGAGGAGAAGGAGGAGGAGGAGGAGGAGGAGGAGGTGGTTGTTCATCCTGAATCGTTGCTTGATGGCCTGGGGGCCTGGCGAGGGCCCCAAGAGAGGCCGCGAGCTGCCGACAACCTCCCGCCGCCTTTGGCGGTTCTGTCGCCTTGGCGACGCCGCGGCCGCACCGCCCTCAATCAAGCGCATAAAAAAACGCCCCTACCCTGGTTTACGAGGCGCTGTGCGCTGAAACTCCTGTGGGCTGACCGGGTAAACCCTGCGTGATGTGCCGCGTCCTGGCGGCTCTAGGCTTTGGGGGTTCCCAGGAGGGTTACAGACCACGCACTTGTAACCCAGGGTAGGGTCGTGTTTTTCATCCCTCAATCAAAGAGGTCGGCCAAGAGAGATGGCGGCGACAGTCACGCAGAGGGACGGCACGGCCGCCAGTGCCGCGCCGGGGCCCAAGAACTCTCCCAACCCGTGGCCTGTTTCGCTGCCTGGGCTCACTGTTCCTGGATGGTGCTGTGGTCGAATGTGGTCCTCCATCAAAGCACCCTCATAGCGGCTACGGTTTGGAGGACGATGGACGCCCGAAACGTCGGCTTGCGAGACCGAGCTCGTCGTAGCGTACTGTCGATACACTTGCGGAGTTGAACTCGCGGATGAGGGTGACATTCGTGATGTCGACATGGTGACAAGAACGCGCTCGGAACAACACTTGGTGAGCCAGAGACCGTCCCCCTAGACCGCCAGGTCCAGAGGTGGTCTGGCAGCCGTTCGGCTCGCGGCCCCCTTCACAGGTTATTCAAGAATTGCACTCTCGCAGCAATGCCGGCTACATTTTGGTCTGGACGGCCACCATTCGAAACATTTCCGAAGTGTTCTCATCCTCTTCCCCTGTAGTCATCGTCGTACTCCTCGGTTCGTACCCTGGAGGCCCAAATCGAGGGGCATCCGCCGGATTTGCATCAACCATATTGCAGTGGGCGCTTTTGACTTGCAAAAGCTGCAGGATGGCTGTAATCCGCTTGCATCTGGATCGCAAGTCTGCCCAGCTGCTCCCAGCGGGGTCCGCGACCCACTCAGACTGAGAGCCGCGAGGCGGACCTGTAAACCGCCTGGCAAGTGGGCTGCAACCGCCCTGCAGCTGTTGTAGCTGCTGTTGCAAGCCGAGCCGACCACTGCTCACCACCCACCGAACCACCCCAGCCCAACCCGAAGGCCTCAATTTGCCCTCCACCCCCAATAGCGAATTGTCGGGGAACATCGAAAAAACACATGGAGCCCATACCGGAGCGCCCCGGATCGGCGGCACTGGCCGGAGGCCGCTACAAGAAGGAGTGCCAGATGAGGAACGAGGCCACTTTTCGGTCGTACGAGCGCCTGTGTGGACGAGGGGCGCTGGAGAAGCAGCCATGCAAGAACCCCAACCCGATTCGTGCTGGGGCGGGCGTATCTCCCGGCGCCGGGCGCCGTTACGACGGGCTGCCGCTTTTGCCGCGTGGAGTTGTGCAGCGATCCTGTTTAGGAATCCCAGTTGCTTCTCGGTCGTGGGGGGGGGAAACAACCTGAAATTCGGATCTTCGAGCTGGGTCGGCTGGTTCGGTAGGTAGTCGCGACCACAGGACCGTCGGTAGGTGGTCGTCCACAGGACCGTGTCGGAGACCCGGGCCGCCCGCGACGCCGCGCGGGCGCACCGCCCCGCCGCAGCTCGGACATGGGGACGCCGCGGCGACGGCCACGCCGAGGGGCGGCGAGGCCGGCGGGAGGCCGCCGATCTGCCACCGCCGTCGTGGTCGTCGTCGTCGTCGTCGTCGTCGTCGTCGTGGTCGTCTTCGTCGTCGTCGTCGTCGTCGTCGTCGTCGTGGTTGTCGTGGTTGTCGTGGTCGTCGTCGTCGTCGTCGTCGTCGTCGTGGTCGTCGTCGTCGTCGTCGTTGCCGTCGCCGTCGTCCGCGGCCGCGGCCGCCCCCCCCCCCGCTGGCAGGACGGCGGCGGCGCCCGCGAGGGAGGCGCCCCGCAGGGGAAGGGGGCCGAGGGCCGGGCGGGGGCTCAGGAGGAGGAGGAGGAGGAGGAGGAGGAGGAGGAGGAGGAGGAGGAGGGGGAGGAGGAGGAGGAGGAGGAGGAGGAGGAGGAGGAGGAGGAAGGGGGGAGGAGAGAGAAGGAAGAGGAGGAGGAGGAGAAAGAAGGAGGAGGAGGAGGAGAAGGAGGAGGAGGAGGAGGAGGAGAATGGCTGGGCGGGTGGAGGCGGGGCCTGTCCCTCTGCCGGGGGGGCTTCGATCGGAAGTCGGCCCGGACCCTCAGACGGTACGAGGTCTTGCTCCAGCAGTGCTTGCACTCAGGTTGTGATGATCCAGCCTACTGTAGCCTTGATCACCGTACGGTAGGTTCGTGTCGTGTCGACTGGCGGCGACCCCGCCGCGGGCGTTCAATGTTGAACGCCGACGGCGGCCAAGAATCGGCCGATGTTGAACGATCGGACGTTGCGTAAACGGCCGATCGTTCAAGGTCGAACGATCCCCGTAGTGTCAGTAACCAAAGCCCGGGTCGACAACACACGAACCTGCCGTAGTGAATTTCGAGCACCAGGAAAACACCCCCAAAGTTCTAGGGTTTTCACATGTCGGGCCCGGGGAGACACTCTCTCGACACTCCTTCGACACTCCTTCGACACCCTTCGGGGTGCTCGGAATTATTTCCGGGATGCGGTCCATAACCCTGACCCTCAGACGATACGATGCACAGCCGGGGCCCTGAAGAAGGAGCACTTCTCGTTGGGGAGGGGCTCCGTGTTCCTCAATCGTTTCCCAGTTTGCCCTGGATGTTCCTTATAGGTTTTCGATACGAGAGCGAAGCTCGCCATATATGGAAAATAAGGGGCCCCGTTCCTTATCTTTAGGGTTCCTGAGGTCAACGCCTCACACAACATCAACAATATCCTCGCCTCGCCTCGCCTCGCCTCGACTGTATTTGCTCCAGCAGCGCTTGCACTCCAAAGGTGTTTTTTTGTTGCTGCCCGCCCGCTGCGAAGGGGGACGTTTAGGGCGGGCCCTGCCGAGGCCCCGCCGCGGCGCCGCCCGTGGCCGCCCCGCTCTGCCGCCCAGGAAGTTGCTGTTTGGGGGGCCTGCCGAGGTTTCTCCGCGGGCGCCTCGAGGAGGAGGAGGAGGAGGACGAGGAGGAGGAGGAGGAGGAGGAGGAGGAGGAGGAGGAGGAGGGAGGAGGACAATCGGGCCACTGCCACGGCGTCTCTGCCGAGGTTTCTCCACGGGCGCCTCCCACGCCCTGCCGAGGTTTCTCCACGGGCGCCTCCCGTGGCCGCCCTCTCGGGCCGGGCGAAAGGGGGGGGATTGGGAAAGGGGGGGCTTAAAACGACGCGAAGATCGGGACAAAATCGGATCGGGATAACTCGAAATCTCTGAGAATCGGCGGGTTTGGAGGATGTATTGGGCGCCGCGGCCGCTCCAGAGCGTTCCTGAACGCTCTGAGAGCGCTCCGGAACGCTCTGGAGCGATTTATCCCGATCCTAGCCCTGTTTTATGGGTTACGAAATTTGCTGCATGCAGCTGGTTTCGGCCTCACCGAGGGGCCTATACTCCTCGATATATGGCCGCCTCCGGCGCCGGGAGGCGCCGGGAAAATCAGCTACGTGAGCTGATTCTCAAACCCCCCCTTTGTCCCCCTTTCGCCCGACCCGAGCCTCGTGGCCGCCTCTCGCTTTATGTTGTTCCCATCCGACTTAAGGACCGCATCCCAGAAATGATGTCGAGCACCCCGAAGAGTGGCGAAAGAGTGTCGAAAGAGTGTCGGAAGAGTGTCTCCCAGGGCCC